CTTCAAAATACGCATTTATTCAGAAAGACAAAGAGCAGACTAGCGGAGCAGAGGCTGTGGGCAAACAAAAATGAAATGCAACGTCAGCACCGGTTGAGCCGACCGACCTTTGTGCCGACGATCCTCTGAAATTCTGTGTGTGTAAAAATTGATTAATATTGTCCCAACTGTTAGTACCGCAATAAATGGCATGTTCACTCTTTCATGTTGCAGAAAACTCGTAAAAGAAAATGTTTTCAGCTAGATTTCGTGAGCAGTAGTTTATTTTTTTTACACTAAAAAGGTGCACACTGTTGAGTGGATTTAAGCAATAAAAATATCTATTCAAAAGAATTGCGAGATTGCCCCCGCTGAATGCAGTTATACACGTCGGTAGTGCAGATAGTGCGCGCCTGTAATATGTAAAGTTATGGTAACAAAAAATTGTACCATAGCTTCTATATTTTATTATTCAATTTCAGCGTGTTTCTATTGCCCAAGAAACTCAATCTGTATGTCTGATATGGAATGAATTTGTTGCTTTTATACATGTGACGGCTTTGATATATTGCCAATTCAAACTAAATTTATCAGATTAAATATAGCTAGGTATATCAAACAGTTGACTTTCATGCTTCAAATTCTTCTTAACTGATACGTACTGAATATTGTATACCATGATACTTTTCGATTTAATACCGTAGTTTAATTTATTTTCTTTCTTACATGTTTATTTTATATCCATTTTGAAGATGCCTTTTATAATTTTGCATATAGTTGTATGAAATATTTGAGGATCTACTCATATTTCATCACTTTTATTAAAGTTAGAGATTATATATTGTGTAAGCCGGATAGTATCCTATCATAACTTTCACGATGTGGCGTGCCAACATGACATCCATATATTATATAGTCTACCTTTGCAGTGGATAGAAACGTAAAAATTTCAGCGCAACGTACAACTCGGTACTGGCACATTATGAATTGAGTTAGAGCAACTGGTAAGCCGCACGTAAAGGCACACGAACGCGGCCGTTCCAGCGTCGCTTCGCGTCGCGTCGTAATTGATGTGTGTAGCTTTTTGTCGTGCTATACCGTTCAGTGTTTGCCGTCGCCCCGCGGTCAAGTTAGGCTAAATTAAATTGTTGTATTTTTCACAACGAAATTACTACGACGAGTAACCGAGCCCGTTAACGAGGGGGCGGTTAATGTTATTTGGCAACTACACTGTTGTCTGCTGTTGTTCTTTCGAAATTTGAAATCACCAGCTATCTATTGATTGTGACGTCACCATAACTACTATTATGTATTTGTTAAACAAGTACTTTGCGCAAAATGGAATATATTTCATTTTATTTACAATATTATTCAACTACATTATCAATATTGGTAATTTTGTTTTAAATAACTGTACTGGTAAATTCTTTGACATCATATCATAACATCAATATAGTATAGTAGTAGTATTATAATTATTATTAAAATAACTCCGTACCTTCTTCATTTTGTGTTAACAATGCACAATGTGTCGATTTATTATTTGTAATATTTATTTTTCCTGATATTTTCTAATTACATATCGTTGCTTATTACTTTATGTATGTAAGAATCTCTGTTAAAAGATATATATATATATATATACAACTATTTAGCATCCATATAATCAAGATAAGTTAGACTAAATCTCCCCTGTATCATTCCACTCTCGTTCTTTTAACTACGAATATTGTTTCATAGTATATAATGAAGTATAATAGGCATGTTCTATATTTAAACAGACACATTCTTTCATACCTTCTCTGTGTTGTGAAGGCAGTCTGCTAGTTTCACTACAAATTCATCGCATCATTTCCATTTCCACGTTCATTTCCTCAACTCAGATGTTTTATATTTCATTTTGAATTTTAAATTTAAATTAATACGTTTGTAAATTTAATATAAACAATATATTACATCTTTATTATTAAATTACCAAAATTTGATAGTTTAAAAAACTATAGAATGCACTAAAACATTGGAATATCATGAGTTTTAGATCATTATCTTCCTTCATATCATTAATTTATTTGTTCATATTGAATGACATTTAGATATAATGTTTTAATTAAAACTAAGAAAACACAACAGTTTTATTTCTCAGAAAAAAGTTTATTTTAATAATTAAGGTTAGAAACTAATATCTACGTTTAACTCAAACTACGTTTTAAGTCAAAGATTTAATTCATTGAACGTCCAAATAAATTAATTTAACTTATTCGTGGCACAATTAATTCGGGCAATCACAGGTAGCGTGTACCAATTTAGAGCGGACCAAAAATTGGATATGCGGTGAATAATAATTTTCCCAGTGGACTGGACTGCGTTGTCCACATTTAAGGTAATTGCCAACAGTTTCGGCTGACGTGGCCACAGGTAAACCTGACACTCGTTCCCAATGGGACACCCTTTGCAATCCCATTTATAAATGCCGATTAATCAAATTTTTATTTATCGTTTGGTGAGTATTTAAATTATACCATTGCCGAATTAAATGTATTCCTTTCCGTGGATCACATCATTCGGAAGTTAACATTGAATTGTAATATCAAATTGCAATGTATTTATTACAAAGTTTGATATAAATAAAATACATGTTTCTGTGTGCTTATGAATGATCCAATCGTTACCAAATAATATTATAAAAAAATCTATCGTATTTCTATCTAAACTAACAATAATAATAATATGGAAAAGGTAGAAATATAATGCTTAACGATACGAGTATGGTTATTGATATTGATAGTTACAGTCGTAACGTCATTCATTCTAAAAATATTTTTATACTTAAATAGCAAGAAGTAGTGAAGATACATACTGTGCACTGAATTGTCATTGTACTGATGTATGCTGGAAATTCTGCGAAATTCTTCGATTCAGTGATTCGCGATGCAGATGAAGATACTTAGAAAATATTGTCACTAATGTGGTCAATTTCTATACCCTGGCTAAATTCCAATCTGAATTGCTGAGTTGCGGAAACAATGTTTGTAGACATATGGTAATGCGTAACACCGTGCTTTGTTTAGTGGCATTGGTGAGATATCTGTGAAGAACTAGATGATACATTTACATTTACACTAATTTTTATTCAACTTTATTATTATAGATTATCAATAATATGCATATTATTCTTTAAATCTTTTATTAATGTTGCAATCATTATACCTTTAAGATTCACTCTGAATTCTTAATATTGTATTGTTTGATTTATTGGAAATTGCGTTATTATATTAAATTTAAATTGCCGTTACTTAATACATATCAATAAGCGGTAGGTAGTAGTTTCAATGTCAGATATTATTAAAGCGTGTATTAATATTGTTCAGTAAATATATATATAACGTGACAAGATTAAACGAACTAAAAATAGGACGATTTGACGAGACAACGTGATGGGAGACAGGGAATGTTGTCACACTCGAGATTTACAGGGAAAAGGCAGGAGAGAGCGGGGCGGAAAGGACCGCCACTTGGACACGTTGCGTCCCTCCCCCCCCCTCTACCCCTCCATGCCACCCTCCGCCGTGCCACTTATTCATCATTTACGTATATTTGAGTGTGATTTCGTTTGGGATCGGCCCAGAACTCCGGCCCTCTTACTCACTTACATTAGTTACATTAGATGTTACCGAATCTTGTTTCATTCAATTTCCACAGAGCTATTATCTTTCGCCACTCATAGTAATAGGGATTCCTTTCAGAAACGTAATAATATTTATTGGGTGTTTCTAGAGCCTTGAAAGGTTCAAGCAGTAGTTATGTACGCACAGAAACTGTATAAGTATATTTACTATAAAGATCAAATAACTAACGTGATCATAACAAAACATCTGAATAATTTGATGAGAAAAGAAAGTTGATTATAGATCCTATCTTTCATAAAATATTATAATTTTTGATTACATTCTGCAAATTAAAATAACGCGAATTTGTTTATATTCTCTGTAGTAAAAAAACAATTATATAAGCCTATGTCTAATAATTAACAAATAGATATAAGCTTATTTCTCCATGTCGGTTCAATACATATTCAAATATTATACAAATACAATGATTTTAATCTTCATCAATAGGGTTAATTAAAAAAGACGTACATGGACAATGAAAAATTACTACCTATTTATTCTTAATCTGATTTTTTTAAATAAGATTAACGGTTAAAAGTAATTTATTGCTTATCAAAAAGACACACTGTCCAGCCATTTTTGTTAGGTGTTAGCTATTGTAAGTCATAAATATTTTTACTTAATGTATTCTAATAGTAATAAGTCTTTATTATATTCACGAAATTTGTTAGCTTATCTTAACATCATATTTACAGTAACCCGACTCTTATTTAAACATTGTTACTGATCTGAAGCCTTTTAAAAATACGACAGCTATTGTTAACTTGTCACAGCGTGCTTTTATACCTTGTTATTACTTGCATTAATATTCAAGAAGAAAACAGTTACAGCCTTTAAGATAGAAATGTGTAGGTACGATATTGACAGTATAATGAAGTTCCCTCTATATACTCAATTTACCGTATTCAATATGCTTTTACAATTTATTTTGTCAAAGCATATTTAACGTATCGAGAAAATAACTTATTTATGATAAATTGTAAGCGTTTTATCAATCAACCAATTAACTACATACAGTTGATGCCAAATATATTAAAAAAATATTAGGACTAAATAAAATAAATTTTATTAGTCAGGTATTGTTTAGTGGTTGATTATTTTCCAAAGATGGCCTTAGATATTATGCATTCAACAAACATAAATATCTTTCGCTAACATTCGCGGGAGGATTGCATAATATATTAACACTAATTATTTTAACATTTCGCTATCCAGCCACACATCGGTTCAATCTGTTTCCAATTATTTTTGCGTTACTAACTATCCGCATCTTCATACCCGTACTATAATTATGTAGATAAACTTGCTCATGTTTTTAGTGCTTGATATTAAATATCGTAATTTTTGTTACAGATGGTTACCAGGACAAAGAAAATCTTTGTAGGAGGGCTATCAGCACCCACAACGCTGGAAGACGTAAAGAATTACTTCGAACAATTCGGACCGGTAAGTACAAATTGTCTATAGAACAATTAAACAACCGGTTATTCCTTTTAAAGATGATAAGTTAACAAAATGTATATTTGGAGCATTTCGACGCCGCATTATACGCAACATGTCAGTTGAAAGCGCGAAGTTACGACAACTTCGCTCGCGAAATTTAATTTACACTCAACTTTTTGGAAAAGTGTACTGAATTTGCGCTGTCATGTCCCATTTGTTATTAGGCAACGCTAATTTTGCCCACAGCTAAATCATTTCGTGCACATAATATTAAATACGTTACCCTCAAATTTGGCATTTCAGCCAAACTTGTAAACTCTGTTATGATATTTGCCTACTGTACTTTGTTCCAATGGAAATTCATTAAACAGATTAACGTTAAGCTGTTAGATTAAGTATTACCTCAAATTGTTTATTTTAATGAATGTGTTCATCAAGTTAATGAAAATAAACTTTTACAGAAAACGTTATGATAAAATTATGTTAGAATAATCGTATGGCGACAGTTTAGATATAAAGGAAACAATATCTTTGTCTCCGTACTCCTTAAGGTCGATATTGAATAAGACTGTCTTCCAAGAATCTATTGTCTCAATTTGCGAAGTAGAACACACGAAATTGGACTTTTATAGGACGCATTAAAGTTAAGACTCGCTAAGCACGTTGCCCAGGCCTGTAAATCTGCGATAAGTTGGTCTTTGTCTGGCAGCCGCGGCTCAGTGCAGGTGTCTATCTACAAAAGTTTCCTGGTAATTAGCCCCGTATCTAGCGTGGATGTGAACTACGAAACTTTTCAGAATTCAACATTGACTATAGTCCGGAGTCATTGTAGCAGCTCTCAAAGTAATCGGCGCCTGCCAGCCGCCCGCGACGATCAAAACCTTCATTACCTATTATGAGAGTTTAGAATAAAGCCAACGAGTTTTTCGGAGTGAATGTGATTGATGCCGAGCGAAGGAAATATCCCGAGAGAGATAAAAGGAATTTAATGAAGAGTCTTTAAGAATAATGATTAAGGCAATGGTTATTCCTTTTGGTCGGCAGCCTAATGATGGGGTCTTTTGAATTACTTTTGTCTTTACGTTGTAATATGTAACCGCAATTATGCTATTTAAATACAAAAGATATTCATATTTTTCAATTTTATATAAAAATACTCGTATTTTATTACGATAATGATATTTAGAGATATTAGTAATTTCGGGATATTTAGTGGGCGGGAGTTCCTGGTAATGAATACAACTATGAGTTAGAAACAATGGCATGTATTGAAGCTTAGCGTGTAGGGTAAATAAATTATGGAATACCATTGTTACATCCAAGAACGCACACCGAGAATTCTGATTACAAATTAATTCAATAACATTGAAGCCGTGCACTGTGCTCCCAGCTCGGCATCATTTCGTAAGGGTGTCACATTTTGAGCAAGTTTAATTAACAATCTAGTCGCTTTTGTAGGTGCCTTCATTAGTGTATTTGTGGATAAACATTGCGCAACGCGACACGACGCAATTCGCAATGCGTGCGTGTGCGTAGGTAGCCTCGTAAAGTTTTGTAGACAGCGGGTCTTGTATGCGACGCCGCCGGCGACAATACGTCACATGTCAGGATATTCGTTAAATTCTTGATGTTCAAGTTAAGGAGACAAACAGAAGTCATATTATAAGCAAATATTTCACTGAATCATCATCGTTAAAATTTTTCACCTTTTGTTTTCAGTACTACAAATCCTTGGGTAGGCACACTTGAACGTTTTCTGTCGGCCGTGTATGCACAAAACGCCAGTGTGTGCGTACGATCCGTGACTCTGATGTCTCGATACCTCCCGGGCTCCCTACGTGCGAGCTTTCCGAATGCAAACTGTCTCGGAATATCAAATGAGCCACTTAAATACCGAACACAATGACTACACCCACCTGAAGCAAAAGCCGCGGGGACGCGTACACGCAACGCCGTAAATGAAAGCCCGATGGGTCGGGGCCGAAGGGTGTGCGAGCAACCCCGGTAACGATTTCCTTCAGATAATGGAGAATTTTCTGATGAAAGCTGCTCGACAGTGCCCTTTCAAAGATTTAGGAACTGTAGGATTTATGGCCGACGCGGTCCGTGCAAAATTTCGCATTTCTTACTCATCGTATGCATAATAATTATTACATCACTAATTAGTAATGGATATGTCGTGGTATATGTTATGTTTCTATCAAATATAATATAATAAGTGATACATTACAGTAATTTAATTTTATAATATGAAATTAACTAAGCTAAAAAACACATGCAAAATGCCTAAAATGAATAAAATAATAAATAAACTTAATTAATGTGCAAGATAATTTTATGAAATTGAAATCCAGTTGATAATAGAACTACTTTATTTTTATATTTAATCTGTTATTCATATTATCTAAAAAGTAACTTAAATAAGTAAGAATAATTAATTGTACATATTCCTCAATATTCACATTTGTTAATACAGTAACTTTTTAACGCATTACATAAACACAATAGAATATTCACACCGTTAATGAGATGTGAAATCTATTTATATAATAAGAGCATATTATTTATACTATTCTAATTATGAAGGTAACAAGACTAAATTGAGGTAGTAACAGTAACCAAGTAGATCGGTAGGCTTAGGCATTGTCGAAATTAAACGTTTGTTACGAACAAATTAATTTCAAACCCGCTTTTCTCAAACAACAACAAAATTCAAATCGAGATTTGAAATCAAGAAAACAAACCCCTTATATAATATGTAAATCGCAGTCGAATTCACTCGAAAGTCGGCACAACCGGCTCCGGGATGCTGACTTAAAAATTAATTAGCCGAACGACCGGTGTAATCGCTGAAGCCAATGTCGATTAAGTGTTATCTACAAGAACCGCTGTTTTTGTAATGTTCACTTCAATTAGACGTAGCAAAGTAGTATTTCCATTGGCTTTCTGGGTCGCTTAAGCTTCTTCTCTACCACACGCCACGAGCTCCGTCTGCAAATCTCTACCCTAGTCGACAGAAACGCACACTTGGCCCTACAGTTATACCACAGATTGCTTATATTTTATTTTTTTCTCTTCTCATGAAAATGTATGCCGTCTTTATCTGTCTATCTGCCTCGCTAAAGCGATCTTATATTTAATGTTAAGCGGACAACGTTATTCACAAGAATTTTGGCTGCGATGTTTAAGTAAAAACATCCTCCTTCTCTGAATAATATTTATTATATCTGTGTTATTTTTAGATTTAGAAACGATAAAAAATAACTCATGCAAAGTTGCTCATATTATTCGATTTTCAAATACAATAAAATTGTGATAAATTCAGAGCCTTTTGATGTTAGATATAGTGTCACGGTGCGGTAGTTGATATGTGCATTTTCTTTTCGAATAAATATCTTATAATCTATTTATTGTGAAATAATAGCCTTTATCGTTCAGTTTCATTCTAACTCGTTTTTATTACTATATCACATGACTTAACAAGTTTATCCAATGAACTTGGCGGACCTACTATCCCCTTTTCGTTAAGCTAAATACGGGCAGCGTTGCCCTTACAAGAGAGAGTATTTGAGAAAGTTCTGTTGCATGTTTGATTCGCTTATTGTTTTGGGTATTGAACCAATCCAAATTCTGAACGTCGACTGAATAATTACATAATCGGAGCTTATGATAAAAGCTACCATGTTAATGCGTTTAATAGTTATTATTTAAGTTCTTAAACTTTCATATTAAATTATACTAGTATTTATTATTTTTGTAGTTACATATTGATTGAAAAACAATATTTATTTGGTTAGTCCTCTCAAAAATACGTCGTAATATTTCGAAGCAAATCTAAATTGCCACTATAAATATCTATTCTTATACAATTAAATAGTGTAAAATAAAAAAGGCTATAATATTGTGTAATGTTTTAATCTATTATAATTGCAAGATCTTGTATAAATTAGTAAATAAGTTATTATTATCATCAAAATTAGTTTCCCCTATTGCCCAATATTACTGTTATCTATAGCAAAACAGCACAAAAACAGCTCTCGAACGCTCGACTCTGAGAATAATCCGATAGATAACTGAGATAAACAAACAATTCAGCCGATACGTAGTTAACTTACGCGTTTACTGTCTAAACATCGTTTACTGTCAACAGTACTCGAACTGTGACTGAAGCGGGTCCGGAATTTGGTTCAACTAGGTATACGATATCATCGGAGGCCGTATATCAATCAGTTGTTACTGTGCTTCACGGTTGTCGTTTATCTTCGGAGCCGCTCGGATCTGGCTGTCCAGATTTGTGCATTGTTCCGGCATTAGCCACGACTGCCGAAACGGTGGATGTCTAAAATACCAGCGCGGTAGTGTTGCTCCCGTTGCAGAGCACTGGCCGCCCGATAACGTTTCCAATTTCCTGACTTAAATTGCTCTAATTTGGTTATACGTTGACGGGTGATCGAAGGCTGCTAAAGCTTCGGCTACAAACGATACTCGTGTTGAAGCAATGTAATTCGTATTAGCTTCTATTTTTAATGTTACTCTATGAATTTACGTGAAATATTTTATATATAATTTTCATATAGAACTTAGCGAACTAAGCCAAAATAATTTAAATCCAGTGAATAACTTTTTATTGTAATTTAAATTAAATTTTTTCTACTTTGTCTACTAACAATACTTTTGTATAGTTATTCAAATTGTCCAAGTTTCTTTTTACATAAGTAAAAATTACGACTGAATGTATTTCTAAAGAACGAAAGGAAAAACACGTCTCTAAAATTACGGACACGTTTAATTTTTTTTTGCTTGCATTGAATGGAAAGTAGTATCAGCAAAGTGCCAATATATTATACTAACAGAGAACTAATTATGCTTCAGAACAGTTTTTCTGAACCATTTAACTACCTCACGAGAAGGAATTTCAGAACTATTTCCTAAAACGAGAAAAAGATACCAGTGTACTAAGTTTTAGGTTTTATACACTTTGATAAAGTTTTTTGTTCAGCCTT